ACAATGTTCAACCATACTGTTTTTGCTGACTCTTTCACCTTGCGTTTCCCTCGCCCTTTTCGACCTGGGAACTGAGTTAACTGCAAACCCAATGTCTGAGTGTGTCAACATGCAGTTGCACAGCTCAACGCAGAACAACGCCATACCCAGTGCAGCAAAACCTCCACAACAGTGCCAAAGCTCTTGATTCTCTACCACCAGAGTTTTCTCTTGCAAACAAAATTCCCTCAAGTGTTCGAACAAAAGAATTAGGTTGCTTCGAATTACAGGTGATGGAACTGGACTGACCAGTGTCTCGTGGATGCCACATCCAGTTCGCCCGATTCAGGCCACTTAGGGCCAAGGTGACCGGAGCGCTGCCTTCGTGGAGACTCCCGGCCAAGGAAGGGGGGCTGAAACCAACGTGGAGCAGTAGGGTGTTCGCACCACCCACGAAATCTCGTTTCTGGTCTGGGGTGCACATTTGATAGGCTTCATCAGACTAGTGGTCCAAGTACCTGACGCGGAGGTGCCTTTGTAAGGTGTATTGAGATATGTACATAGATGTATGCGTTCATCGACACCAGCGAACCATGAAGCTCTGCATGTTTGAGAACATCTGTTGCTACCCTTCTCAAAGGCTGGAGTCTAGCTCTTGTGGCGGTTCTCATTGCGACCGCGGCTGCGAAAAATGGCGCTTGAACGGACCATTGCAGCCAGCGCGTAAACGCTGAGTAGGCAATAATGGTCAGTAAGGGCACCCCACCTGGGTGCGTATGGGAACTCAAACAGGTGTGACCGTGTTGACAACATATATATATATATAATTACGTAAAGTATATACAAGCAATATATATATATATACAGTAGATTAACACAACCGCAGGTTCTTTTCCTACGCCTTGTAGCGAGTTTGTCTAAATAATCAACTGGGCAACCTTCAAATTCTTCCTCTCCGGGCCCGACATTTCAACCTCTGGGCCAAACCACCAGAGGAGAAATGTCCGCAGTGCCCCCCTAAAATGATAGTTCTCCTAACCTTAAATGAGGCGGCTTTGGGTTCGAGGAGGGAGGGCCTGCACCCCAATGCTGCGGTAGAATCAGTTTAACTATGTGGGCATAGCATCATAGATATATAGACGTAGATTACCCTGATTGTGTATGTATACATGTATATATATATATATGTATACATATACACTGTATATACTTTTGTCCTATTCGTGTGCCGCTTTGAGAGTTTTTATCCCCAACAAAGACGAGCACCCATTTCCAAGTGCTCTGATCTGGTATGTGTTCACCTCAACTGGCTTTGAAACAGCGAACTCGGCGTTGGCTTCGTTGAAACCATGTTGAAACCATGCGGAGAGCGTGCTGCCTTCACTGACCAAAGTGGGAGAGCCTTCCGCTCCCCTCCGGGTGTTCAGCTTGGCACCGTCACCCAAAAATAGCTATGCTCTAAGTGTCTTTGGCCCAACCTTTCCTTGGTGTGGAGTATTGCTCTTTTGGACAACCTGGCAGGTTATGACTCGGTGCCAGAGTTGAAGACCGGACAGCTGCCAGAGTTTTTCCGGTTGATGGCGAGTCGGTCCAGGAACTATTGCTCCACTTTGTCACTTGAGGTAAAACCAAGACAAACTGTCAGTGTATATATATATATACATAGACTCATGACTCATGCATTCCACTTCGTAGTTCTTTTTTGTGCCTTTTTTTGGCGCCCGTCAAAGCCCCTCTTTTGGTCAACGACGCGGCGCTCGAGTCATGAGTTCGCCTGGACCTACTCACTCGGGCCGGCTGTACAGCCACTGAAATTGGTTGTCGATGGCGTCCGCCCCACGCGCAACTCGGATCTCACTGCGGAATGTATCAATGAAGTCATTCACATCATCAATCCTTGGTTGTTGACAACTGAAATCTGGAAACGGCTTCATAGGACCAAAACAGACCAAAACATGCAAAATCATATTGTTCATATCCCATGACCCTCTGTGCTTAGGACCCTAAGTTCCAAGACCCTTCGAAACTTCCAGATTGTCCATGGAACAGCGTGCAGGGATGTGAAAGACGCTTTGAATCACTGACCTTTTGAACGCTACGCAACTCTACGCCGAAGATCAAGCCGTCATCTCACGCTACGTCGGTCAAGTCGTCTGCTCATCCCAAGTCCTCACCGAGTGACGCTTCAGAGATCTCATCTTCGAGCTCTTCCAGCGTTTTGATCGTGTCATGTTCATCCTGGCCACCGCTGTTGGTGGTTCTCCGCCGCGCGGAGGGATAGCTTGTGGAGGGGGGAGGCAATGGAAGGGCCTGCTGCTACTCAATTGTTCCTTTTCTCCGGGCAAGTGAGTTCTGCTTTGGGTATCAAAGGTCCACTTGATGCGTGACCATCCAACCCTCAAGAGGGCTTGATTCCAAGAATATGTTTTCCGCCAACAGCTTTTGCACTGCTCATATTGGGTGCTTACCTCGTGAAGGGCAAGCTGGTTCTAATTGGTTCCATGACACCATAATTGTTGGGGCGTGGCGACACTGACCCTGAGCTCATGCCGACTCATGCAACAAGAATCCACTCTGACTCATGTACCTGGCTACCCTGGCCTCCAACTCACCAGAAAAGGCAAAGACATCGCAAAACCGGTGCGCATGTGTGTAAATGAGGAGATTTCCCTCATTCGATTCCCCTTCACAAAGGCAATGAGTAGAGGCAGTTGTGTCTGCTGCCGCCAGCCTTCCACAGGTCACATTGCGCCGCAATGACCTCTCTGGATCGCGCTTCGCCCCTTGCTAGCATGATGCCCTGCGCAGCCAATTGGAGATCCGCCGTTGCAAGCACGACGCCCAAAGGAAAACTATCCCCAGTGCAAGATGCAAACTCTGACCACTCCCCATTTAGGGCCTCTAGGAACTCCTCCGAATCCAATGTTCCGGAGTTGTTGTAATCGAGCACATCGAACAACAGCGCCGCTTGCCGGACGTCAATCTGCACCTGGCCAAGTGAGACGTGTCCCATGTTCTGCCGGTTGCGAAACGAGCCTTCGAATCGTTCCTTTGCCACAGACTCGGAAAAGATCGGTGCTGATTATGGTTGTTTGACTGTCTTTAGTGTCAAGTTCGGAAACGAGACATGCGATGTGGATCGTCTTACATGATGATGATGATGATGATGATGATGATGATGATGATGATGATGAT